TATCTTGATAGCAATAAAAGGGACCAGCGTGAATTTTATGGTCTTCAAATGAATCTTGGCTGTTCTCTTGGGACCCTCCGCTTCAACATCAGCCTTTATATCTAATTTAGTTCTCATCATTTAGATTACACTAACACGTGATGGCTTCCTTTGGGGCAGCATGAATTTCTGGGCAAATACATTAAAAATCCAATGTCCGTATCAGGCTCTGGAGCCAGACCAAGGGCAGGTGAAGTATCAAATGTTAACCACTATTGAGAAAAAAGGCTATTATCTTAGCATACAAAAAACTTTGCAGATCAAGCCAATGGCAGCTAGACAGGAGCTTAGTTTTCAAATGGCAGAAGCTTAATCAGAAGCCCCTTCTAACTAGCACAAGGTGGTAATGTTTTGGAGATGGATTGGGCAAGGCACTGGGGAAGAAGGTAAAGATGTGGATGGGAGGTATAGACTGTAGGGCAGTATAGGGATATATGTATATGTTTTCAAGGACAAAGCTCTGAGAGGAAAGGTTTTTGTAAGAGGCCTGAGAGTAACAGAGAAAGCAGTAGCCAGCTTCCCTTTCCAGCAAGTGTAGGTTTGTACAGATAATATGCTTGAAAGTCTGTGAGGTTAAAACAAGTAAAAATGCCCGACCAATCTAACTCAGTGATTAAAACAGGTGGACGGGGGCAGCTAGCAGGACCATGGAGAAGGTGAGGGGTGGGTGGGATCAGGGAGCTAGCAGGTCTGCAGGTGGGTTATTGGGGTTGGTGGGGGGGGGGTGGGCTTTGGGGCTTGCAGGCAGGTTGGTGGGATCAGGGGGGGCTAGCAGGACCACAAGGGGGAGAGGTAGTCAGTCTGGGGGTTGGAGTGGGGGCTAAAAACAGCCCGGGGGGGAGGGATAGGGAAAACACAGTCCCAGGGTTGAGGCAAGAGGCTCAGCTTCCCAGCCCTGGGGCTGCACTCCCATTGTGTACAGATGTTCAGTTAAATTGGTCTAATCCATGCCCAGTCTAGCTTAGAGCTCTTCTCAACTGAACTAAATTAGATTGGCCCAGCCATTTACTGCCAGATCTAATCTCCCAAACTTCTAAGTGTAACATCTGTATGCACCCTGTGTTATACACCTGCCTCTCCAATGACACTCTTCCAAGCCCCTATATCAGGCCCTACCTTTGGAGCTCCCCAGTCCATTTGCCCACTGGGACCTGATTTTTAAATCCATCCCATGGAGTCTGAGGACTGATGGCACATTGACAAAATAGACTACTGGTGTGTCAAATCCCATCAGGGTCTGAAGCACAGTTTGCAAATCATGGCTCAGGTGTCATTTAGGTCAGATTACTCACATCTGCATGCTAAAAATCTCTGTGCCATTTTATCAAAGGAGAACATTGGGCTTTAAAGTGAAGTCATTGGTATGGAGTGAACTGCATAGCTCATTCTCCCCCAAAAGATAATGTTTCTCTTATTTTGAAAGAGAAGATGTTATCAGTCTGCATGTATCTGGATAGCTTTCTATCCTGAAACTAGGTGAAGTCCAAGGAAGACTAAAGTGTTTTACGCTGCTCCTGGGAAAGAGACTTTACACTGTATAACTTTTGTTTATAGTCTGTGAAAAACCATCACACACCACAGGTGTTGCCAAGTGGTGAACTTCTTTAACATGCATTAAACCTATGGAGTCAATTTTTATAGCCAAGTTACAAGGCAGGTTTATGACAGACCTTTAGTCACAACAGCATGGGTGACACTGCCATGATTAAAGGTGGAATATCATCCACTTTGTTAGTCGCATCCTGTGAGCAGTCTCTCCATAACTCAAAAAGTTAACAAGGCTTCTAACACTTGAAGCCTTGCTATCTCCATGATTTTATGGTGCTGCTTTTTAGACACAGAAACTAGTGCTATTGATTGAAGCAGCACAGCATGACAGACACAAATAATGAATTCAGCTCAGCAGAGAGGGAGAAAATGCACTAAATGTACAATGTTGTAAAGTTAAAGGAGCCTGTCAACTCTAACCATAGGCCAGCCTATTTCCCATTCCACTCAAGCCAGCTCCCACTGGACCCTTAGGGCACGTCCACACATGCAAGTACGTGTGCTTGCAGCAGCTCAAATAGAAGTAGTGCAAATTTGAGTCGGGGCTTTTTGTCTCAGCGCACGTGCTCAGACATGCACTTTGTTGTGGAGCAAATTGCCACTTGGGGCAAAATAACCCTGCCTGGCTCCGCCCGGATCTTCAGCCAGGGGGAGCTAGAGCCTGGGGCCAGCACCTGCACTGTCCCCAGCAGTATAAAAAGCTGCCCTGTCCTGGCCCCAGCAGTATAAAAAGCCACCCTGGCAAATAGCTCAGGGCTACTAGCTCTCAGGAGCTTCTGGGGCCCAGGCAATTGGTGGCTGGGTACACTACCCCTTGTGCCAGCTGGACTGCTGAAGCAGCCCTGAGAGTTCCCTGCACCTTTACCCACTGCAGCAGTCTGGCAGTGGGGGCTGCTGCCTGGCTGTGACCTGCCGCGCACCTGCCAGACTTCTATGGGGACTGCAGAGCCAGTCGAGACATCTGCCCCTGTGGGCCAGCTGCCAGTGGACTGCAGTTGCAGGGTTGGCCTTTGTGTGGCACTACTGCCATCTGTGCACCCTGCCCGGCCATCTGGGCAGCTATCACCCGGAAGATGTTCCGGGTGCGGTGGCCTGCTTTGAACTGTCAAAGCATGTCCTCCTGTCCCCATTTGGCCAGGAGGTCAGCCACAGCCAGATGAGTCCAAGGTGCCAGCTCTGAGCAGGCAGGGTCCTGCCACTGGCCTTCCTAGCAGGAATTCTGGTGTTCCCTATTGGAAAACTGAAAAATCCCTGATAA